TCCCTTTATATTAATAGAACAATAATGTCATTGTTAGCTAATGAATGTTCCATGCTGAACAACGGCAACATGACAACGTTTCCATTGGTCCCTCTTCTTTAGAGAAGACCAGGAAATGATGGATACACGGATCGTGTTCAAATCAATAGGCACGCAATGACTCTAAAGAATAATGATCACGCATCAAACACACATTCAGACTAAGGAACCAGCTTGTTTGGAAAATGAGAGAAGTAGAAAGTACAGGTATTTGAGTTCAACATGTAAGAAGTAGAAAGTACAGGTATTTGTGTTCAACATGTAAGAAGTAGAAAGTACAGGTATTTGGGTTCAACATGTAAGAAGTAGAAAGTACAGGTATTTGAGTTCAACATGTAAGAAGTAGAAAGTACAGGTATTTGAGTTCAACATGTAAGAAGTAGAAAGTACAGGTATTTGAGTTCAACATGTAAGAAGTAGAAAGTACAGGTATTTGAGTTCAACATGTGAGAAGTAGAAAAGTACAGGTATTTGAGTCAACATGTAAGAAGTAGAAAGTACAGGTATTTGAGTTCAACATGTAAGAAGTAGAAAGTACAGGTATTTTGAGTTCAACATGTAAGAAGTAGAAAGTACAGGTATTTGTGTTCAACATGTAAGAAGTAGAAAGTACAGGTATTTGAGTTCAACATGTAAGAAGTAGAAAGTACAGGTATTTGAGTTCAACATGTAAGAAGTAGAAAGTACAGGTATTTGTGTTCAACATGTAAGAAGTAGAAAAGTACAGGTATTTGAGTTCAACATGTAAGAAGTAGAAAGTACAGGTATTTGAGTTCAACATGTAAGAAGTAGAAAGTACAGGTATTTGAGTTCAACATGTAAGAAGTAGAAAGTACAGGTATTTGGGTTCAACATGTAAGAAGTAGAAAGTACAGGTATTTGAGTTCAACATGTAAGAAGTAGAAAGTACAGGTATTTGAGTTCAACATGTAAGAAGTAGAAAGTACAGGTATTGAGTTCAACATGTAAGAAGTAGAAGTACAGGTATTTGGGTTCAACATGTAAGAAGTAGAAAGTACAGGTATTTGAGTTCAACATGTAAGAAGTAGAAAGTACAGGTATTGTGTTCAACATGTAAGAAGTAGAAAGTACAGGTATTTGAGTTCAACATGTAAGAAGTAGAAAGTACAGGTATTTGTGTTCAACATGTAAGAAGTAGAAAGTACAGGTATTTGAGTTCAACATGTAAGAAGTAGAAAGTACAGGTATTTGAGTTCAACATGTGAGAAGTAGAAAGTACAGGTATTTGGGTTCAACATGTAAGAAGTAGAAAGTACAGGTATTTGAGTTCAACATGTGAGAAGTAGAAAGTACAGGTATTTGAGTTCAACATGTGAGAAGTAGAAAGTACAGGTATTTGGGTTCAACATGTAAGAAGTAGAAAGTACAGGTATTTGGGTTCAACATGTAAGAAGTAGAAAGTACAGGTATTTGAGTTCAACATGTAAGAAGTAGAAAGTACAGGTATTTGAGTTCAACATGTAAGAAGTAGAAAGTACAGGTATTTGAGTTCAACATGTAAGAAGTAGAAAGTACAGGTATTTGGGTTCAACATGTAAGAAGTAGAAAGTACAGGTATTTGAGTTCAACATGTAAGAAGTAGAAAGTACAGGTATTTGTGTTCAACATGTAAGAAGTAGAAAGTACAGGTATTTGTGTTCAAAAAGTAAGAAGTCAAAGTAAAAAGTTGTCAGAAAAATAAGTAGTGGAGTGAAGTACTGATACCAGAAACATGTACTTAAGTACAGTAACAAAGTATTTGTACTCCACTACTTCCCACCTCTGACCACACACCATAAAAAGCTCAATATTCACCGTGAAATTCATTATTTCAAAGCAAATAATCACACACAAGTCAGAGTGGAAAAGTGGGTCAAGATAACTGGGTATTTGGAGGAAACACGTCACGGTTTGTTAGCCCCTGCTGGAGCCTCAGCGTGAATTATGCATTTCCTTTCATGCAAATGGGTGAATGAGTTTTACCGGACAGCATGCCGGCAGCAGAGCCGCACACAGCGTGGAGGCAGATTCTTGGAGAGCAGAGCAGCAGAGCCAGCAGGAACACACCTCCTGTCCACGGACTGCTGCAGCCGTACACCTGGCTCACTCCCACCGGCACCGAGAGGAAGAGCTGTGAGAGCATAGCCTACACTTAGTACATATTATACAACATGTGTGCAAAATGGCCACCGGATTGTGTGGGTTTCTTAGAGCTAGAGGATATTTCAAACTGCTCCAGAGAGATATCTAGGCTTTGCATGTCTTGTCTCTGTCTTGTTTTTAACAATCATACATACCTGCCTCGCATACTTATGTCTATATAATAACTTGCTTTATATTTTGTTACTGTAAATGTATAATTCAACATGTATATTTTCTACTTTCTTGTTTATCATGGTATTGTTATTGTACAATGCCATGTCTTTTTATGCTGCTGCAACACAAACATTTCCCAAATTTGGATCAATAAAGTGCTATCTTATCTGACCTAATACGATTTTTAGTATCTAGGTTATCTAGGAGTCACTAAAAGCGTGCAAAGATATTCATTTTAATATGATATAGAACAAAGAGCTACAGGATGTGTTACACTTTACCTTAGAGATATCCAGGCTCTGCACGGACTCATTCAGAGCGAGCAGATGGTCATTTGGCTTGAAATCCACCTGAACGGCAGAAAAAAAGACCTTGAATCTGCTTCTAAGCTCTGTGTACGTGCATCTCAGCAGAGAGGGTATAAGTACACACATCCTTTCCTCAAGTAGAAGTACAGATACTGTGTTTAAAGATACTCTGGTGAAAGTAGAAGTACTGACTAAACTTCTTTACTCAAGTGAAAGTAAAGAGGCTTTGAAATGTACTTCAGTAAAAAGTACCCATAACTAGCAGCTGCTTTAAAGAGTACCTGACCTCCCTTTATATTAATAGAACAATAATGTCATTGTTAGCTAATGAATGTTTCCATGCTGAACAACGGCAACATGACAACGTTTCCATTGGTCCCTCTTCTTTAGAGAAGACCAGGAAATGATGGATACACGGATCGTGTTCAAATCAATAGGCACGCAATGACTCTAAAGAATAATGATCACGCATCAAACACACATTCAGACTAAAGGAACCAGCTGTTTGGAAAATGAGAGAAGTAGAAAGTACAGGTATTTGAGTTCAACATGTAAGAAGTAGAAAGTACAGGTATTTGTGTTCAACATGTGAGAAGTAGAAAGTACAGGTATTTTAGTTCAACATGTGAGAAGTAGAAAGTACAGGTATTTGAGTTCAACATGTAAGAAGTAGAAAGTACAGGTATTTGAGTTCAACATGAGAGAAGTAGAAAGTACAGGTATTTGAGTTCAACATGTGAGAAGTAGAAAGTACAGGTATTTGAGTTCAACATGTGAGAAGTAGAAAGTACAGGTATTTGGGTTCAACATGTAAGAAGTAGAAAGTACAGGTATTTGAGTTCAACATGTAAGAAGTAGAAAGTACAGGTATTTGAGTTCAACATGTGAGAAGTAGAAAGTACAGGTATTTGAGTTCAACATGTAAGAAGTAGAAAGTACAGGTATTTGGGTTCAACATGTGAGAAGTAGAAAGTACAGGTATTTGTGTTCAACATGTAAGAAGTAGAAAGTACAGGTATTTGTGTTCAACATGTAAGAAGTAGAAAGTACAGGTATTTGTGTTCAACATGTAAGAAGTAGAAAGTACAGGTATTTGAGTTCAACATGTAAGAAGTAGAAAGTACAGGTATTTGTGTTCAACATGTGAGAAGTAGAAAGTACAGGTATTTGAGTTCAACGTGTAAGAAGTAGAAAGTACAGGTATTTGTGTTCAACATGTAAGAAGTAGAAAGTACAGGTATTTGAGTTCAACGTGTAAGAAGTAGAAAGTACAGGTATTTGAGTTCAACGTGTAAGAAGTAGAAAGTACAGGTATTTGTGTTCAACATGTAAGAAGTAGAAAGTACAGGTATTTGAGTTCAACATGTAAGAAGTAGAAAGTACAGGTATTTGTGTTCAACATGTAAGAAGTAGAAAGTACAGGTATTTGAGTTCAACGTGTAAGAAGTAGAAAGTACAGGTATTTGAGGTCAAAATGTAAGAAGTCAAAGTAAAAAGTTGTCAGAAAAATAAGTAGTGGAGTAAAGTACTGATACCAGAAGAATGTACAGTACTTAAGTACAGTAACAAAGTATTTGTACTCCACTACTTCCCACCTCTGCCTCTTAGAGCGGGGTGGTACTGTACCTGAGGGAAGTAGGGGTGATTTCCTCCTGTCGCTGCCACATGGACACACAGCAGGATGTTGAAGGGCAGTGTCAAGATTGGGAGGTCCCATATACCGACCACTGAGGACAAAGCACTGGAGACCACCGGGCTGTAAACAGGAAGTGGATTACTGATTGGGCGGGAAGGAGAACTATCATTACAATCTGACATTAAAACCCCACCTAGAAGTGAGTGTGTTTACGTTAGGGTGGAGCCTTTTGTAAGGATTTGATCACGTGAACAGCTGGAGGATAAGAACATCTGTGAAGGACTGTTTTAAACTGGAGGAAAATCATCTATTTTGCAGAAAAAATGACTAGAATTTCAGGATTCTTGTATTGAATCGAATAGAATCCTTTATCGTCATTATACAGGTACAATGAGATGAGTAGAGCTACTCCTTTTTTAAGGTGCCATCAAAAATACAAAAAAACAAACAAGAGACGTACAATATTCAGGAAGAGACAACATACAAACAACAAGCATTCATACTTCAATATGCACTGAATATATCAGTTTTAATATAACGTGTCAATTCCACCTTAAATAACCAATTTACTCAAATCAGAATTCATCTGTGTCTGCAATCAAGCACCCGATGTTTCAAAAACATTAATAATTCATGTGTTCAATTAAATGCATGAGATGAATTTTAAAGAGGACCCTTACCACAACATGGACATGAACACATTGGGCAGCAGAAGCCACCAGTACCAGCTTCCCTTTGCAGAGAAAACAGCCATCAGCATGCCCACCAACGTGCCACTGTAGCCGTGCAGACCTGCGGAGACGGCCCCCCTGTGGTGACGTGAAAACATAACACACTTCAATACAAAGCTGTTAGAAGTGCACACACACACACACACACACACACACACACACACACACACACACACACACACACACACACACACACACGACAATATCTGTTCCTTTTTTTTTTTTCTTACTGCCGATTTTTATTCCATATTCCATTTCTATGTAAATACTGTTATATTTTACTATATTTTAAATATTTTTCTAGTTCTCTATCTGTGTTTTTTAATTTTTGTTTTACTTTTATGTATGCACCATGACATCAAGTCAAATTCCTCTTATGTGTCAACCGACCTGGAAATAAACCTGATTCTGAATTGTACTGTTTTATGAAGTTGAGGGTAAGATGATGCATTCGGACCTGTTTTGTCCCAGCAGCAGAGCAGACACTGTGGAGATGAAGGTGCCGATCAGAGCGTTCAGAGCCCACCACGGGTTCTGCAGGAAGAGTCCGCCCACGATGAGGAGTCCGCTGACCGGGTTGTTCAAAAGCATCACCTGAGCCACGCCTCTCAGAACCCAGTCCAGCAGCTGGACCACGAGCACCTGTCCTGAGGAGGAGGAGGAGGAGGAGATCATTTCATCAGTGTCTACAGTGGGAAGTAGTGGAGTGCAAATATTTAGTTACTGTACTTAAGTACATTTTTCTGGTATCAGTACTTTACTCCACTACTTGTTTTTCTGACGACTTTTTACTTTAACTTCTTACATGTTGAACACAAATACCTGTACTTTCTACTTCTTACATGTTGAACACAAATACCTGTACTTTCTACTTCTTACATGTTGAACACAAATACCTGTACTTTCTACTTCTTACATGTTGAACTCAAATACCTGTACTTTCTACTTCTTACATGTTGAACTCAAATACCTGTACTTTCTACTTCTTACATGTTGAACTCAAATACCTGAACTTTCTACTTCTTACATGTTGAACACAAATACCTGAACTTTCTACTTCTTACATGTTGAACTCAAATACCTGTACTTTCTACTTCTTACATGTTGAACTCAAATACCTGTACTTTCTACTTCTTACATGTTGAACACAAATACCTGAACTTTCTACTTCTTACATGTTGAACTCAAATACCTGTACTTTCTACTTCTTACATGTTGAACTCAAATACCTGTACTTTCTACTTCTTACATGTTGAACTCAAATACCTGTACTTTCTACTTCTTACATGTTGAACTCAAATACCTGTACTTTCTACTTCTTACATGTTGAACACAAATACCTGTACTTTCTACTTCTTACATGTTGAACTCAAATACCTGTACTTTCTACTTCTCACATGTTGAACTCAAATACCTGTACTTTCTACTTCTCTCATGTTGAACCCAAATACCTGTACTTTCTACTTCTTACATGTTGAACTCAAATACCTGTACTTTCTACTTCTTACATGTTGAACACAAATACCTGTACTTTCTACTTCTCACATGTTGAACTCAAATACCTGTACTTTCTACTTCTTACATGTTGAACTCAAATACCTGTACTTTCTACTTCTCACATGTTGAACTCAAATACCTGTACTTTCTACTTCTCTCATGTTGAACCCAAATACCTGTACTTTCTACTTCTTACATGTTGAACTCAAATACCTGTACTTTCTACTTCTTACATGTTGAACACAAATACCTGTACTTTCTACTTCTTACATGTTGAACTCAAATACCTGTACTTTCTACTTCTTACATGTTGAACTCAAATACCTGTAGCGTACTTTATAAAACGGACAAGTCAAATCAAGCAATCTGATTGGTTCTTAGCCGTGATATACTGAGCGTATACCACGGGTAGAATTGTAATTGACTTTTCACAACAAGTCAGTATCCCTCCGCGTCTGAGAAAAACAGTATACCGTTGGGCTGAAAAGCAAACTGTTGCTTTTCAAACTGGAACAAGAAAGCAGCGGAGAATTAACGGAGCAGAAAACCTCCTTTTTACGCAGCGGTCCAGACATAGACATCAAACGGCAAAACATATTCAGTGTGCAGTTCCTTTGGCATTAGGGCAGGGATATCTTGATTTGACTTGTCAGTTTTATAAATATATTTACATTTCTTCCGTTACGAAACAAACTTACAAAGCATAAGATGGAAAGATTTAAGATTAACTTCGACCTCCGGGGGGGTCTTACTATGGAGGAGTGGATTGAGCAGTGCCTATCTCCAGAAAAAAAAAGCACCTAAATGACGACATGCAGAGCTACGTGAAGAGCAGGTAGACCAACTGGAGAAGTGCCACCATTCAAAAGCTTTCTGATGCGGGTCTTGAAACAAAGCAGAGAGATGAGGCCGAGGCTATATACAGGACCGTCCTGTACAAAGCTCTCTGAAATGGCTATATACAGGACGGTCCTGTATATAGCCATTTCAGAGAGCTGTGTACAGGACGGTCCTGCACAGAAGCCCTGAAATGGCTATATACAGGACGGTCCTGTATATAAGGTCTCTGAAATGGCTATATACAGGACGGTCCTGCACAGAAGCCCTGAAATGGCTATATACAGGACGGTCCTGTATATAGCCATTTCAGAGAGCTGTGTACAGGACGGTCCTGCACAGAAGCCCTGAATTGGCTATATACAGGACGGTCCTGTATATAAGGTCTCTGAAATGGCTATATACAGGACGGTCCTGCACAGAAGCCCTGAAATGGCTATATACAGGACGGTCCTGTATATAAGGTCTCTGAAATGGCTATATACAGGACCGTCCTGCAGCTAACGTCAAATGACTATATACAGACCGGGCTATTATAGCATGCTTAAGCAAGTTTCGCGGGTGGTAATGTAGGGATAGGATTCACAGATAAATATTCTCACGACAACATTATTTTCAATGAGTTTCCCCTCAATATAAAATTGTGCCAATTAAATCTCTTTCCATGCCAATTGCTTAGCTTTTTATGCTGATTTCAGTCTTTTTTTTGGCTTATCTTTTTATGTTGTTTCAATCATTTTCTACTTTATATTTTCCAATGCACAATGTTTTACTTGTAAAGGATATCACTGCATACTTTAAAGACTACTCGGTTTTATTAAAACTGAAGGTTTTTTTTTAAAGAATACGCCGACATTTCGTTGACGTGTAGTGATTTTGCATTGAAAGCAACACAAATAATTTATCGGCTACGCCGGCATTTTTATTTTAGAAATCGGAGAAACCGTATTTTGAATTGTATGTAGTATGCTGTACATTTTTGTAATTTATCCTGCTGTAAACGTTAATTGTACACCAATTATATCCATATTTCTGTAGACTACATAAAAAGCGACTCGATTTTTCTGCCGATAAAGACGTGAAAATCCCATGAAATGTCAGGTTTCATTTCTAAAATTGGTGAAGGTCACCCTCTGGTTTCAAACTGGAACACCTTTGATACCTTATCTTGTCATTTCGTAAATCCAAGTGCTGGCCCCTTGCCACAATACAATCTATTTTTACCAGGCAATAAAATTAAATTAAATTTAGGACGGTCCTGTATATAGCCATTTCGGAGCTTGTATACAGGACGGTCCTGTATATAGCCATTTCAGAGACCTTATATACAGGACCGTCCTGTATATAGCCATTTCAGAGACCTTATATACAGGACGGTCCTGTATATAGCCATTTCAGAGACCTTATATACAGGACCGTCCTGTATATAGCCATTTCAGAGACCTTATATACAGGACCGTCCTGTATATAGCCATTTCAGAGACCTTATATACAGGACGGTCCTGTATATAGCCATTTCAGAGACCTTATATACAGGACCGTCCTGTATATAGCCATTTCAGAGACCTTATATACAGGACCGTCCTGTATATAGCCATTTCAGAGACCTTATATACAGGACCGTCCTGTATATAGCCATTTCAGGGCTTCTGTGCAGGACCGTCCTGTATATGGCCATTTCCGAGGGTTGTGTACAGGACGGTCCTGTATATAGTCATTTGGCGTTGTGTACAGGACGGTCCTGTATATAGTCATTTGGCGTTGTGTACAGGACGGTCCTGTATATAGCCACTCCCAAGAGATGATGAGCGTTAGTGGCCACAGGTGCGAAAGCTCTCTCCAGAGCTGCTGGAAGCCAAATCTCGGGGACCGGAGAAAGTGGAGCAATATTCTGACCACGCCAAGCAACAGCCTAGAACAGGGGTGCCCTACCTTTTTTGAACCGAGAGCTACTTTTAAAGTTGCCAGTCTGCCGAGATCTACCAGTCCAAATAGAGAGGCGTAGCCATTACTGACAGCCTCCTACCAGGAAAATACACACTTCTACTCTAACTGACCTTTGTACGATGAATACTTCATAAAATACTGCAGATCCTTTATCTTACCTCTTTCTAATCTACACACATACAAGTTTTAACTGAAGTTACACAACAGTGTTGTTGATACAGAGTTGGAGTTTATTCACACTTCACTACAGTGGGTAATGTTTTCAAGAAACATTGAACAGTGCTGCCACATATGACACAGGAAAAAAAGAAAAGACTCTGAACCCTTTCTTTGCCATTATATAAAAATAGTGTTGCTACAAAAGTATAAATGAGGCTTACTAATAAGACGACTCAGATCTGAAGCTACTCAGGAATCTGCTGCCAAAGTGCAATAAAAAAGACAACATTAATAGAATCAAACCCTTTTTTTGTTGCATTTTAGTAGATTATAAAAATAAATGCCTTTAAAATAGGATGCAAGCAACACTAGTTTCTTAACCTGAATTGATAATAGACTATAATCAATTTAAGTTTGCATTCTTATACCATTTTGTACAATAATTATAATGAATAAGTTCAAACAAACTCAAACTTACAGCTGATTAATAACGGTATCTAACTTGAGTTTTTATTATATCAAAAACCTGTTGAAATGCTTCTGTTATTTTTACTGTCCCCCAAAAGCGCGTCGCAGCCTCCAGGAAAGCTTCTTTCACAACTTCGCCGTCTTTGAAAGACTTCATGTGTTTCTCAAGAACGTGCCTGACACGATAAGATGCTCTGGTAGCAGCCTTGCTCTTGTTGTTGGGCCTGGTGAAAATGGACTGCTGTGCATTTAGCTGTCCTTTCAGGCCCCTCCCCTTTTGGAGCGTAGGGCAGAATTAGGAGGGAGTTCCGTCTCGTAGCGTTTGTGCACTGTTTTGAAATGCCGCTCCTAAATGACCCTTCTTCGATAAAGCCACGCTCGCATTGCAGATGAGACAGATGGACTTTTAATTGGAATAGATACAAAAATAATCATCCTCCCACTCGGAGTGAAAATTATATATTTTGGGCTTTTTTGCTTCTGCCATAATTGTGTGTGTGCGGACTGTCACTCCTGTTGACATGGACAACGTCAGCGAAATAGTGCCCACTGCCCACCAGCCACGCCCCCACGCATGGGGTCACGCCGGCCAATCACAAAGCTTTGGTGCGTCAAGTGCATTATTCTGGCACGGGAAGATTATGTTATAGGACATTAACGATAAAACAGAATATTGTTGTTCTATTTTTAGACACATCTCGCGATCGATTGGGAATCTCCCCGCGATCGACCGGTCGATCGCGATCGACTGGTTGGGCACCCCTGGCCTAGAACAACCTCAACCTACAAGTGACCTCGTAAGCCTTTCTACTGATGCTGGACAGTTTTTCAGTGGCTGCACAATAAACGGCAACATACAAATGAATGTAAATAAATAGCCAAATAATGGATCAACGCTCTCTGTCTAATATGTTCGCTAGCTGTTAGTGTTGTTGCAGCAACCACCTCGCACTACGGAGGGACTATTTTATTTTGAACATTATTTACGAATAAAAACTATTTAAATTAGAGTTTGTATTTTTATTTCATATTGCCACACTTGGTAACCGTTTTATAGCTAAGGGGCGTGGTTCGGCCCGACATTTTGAACACAAACACCTGTACTTTCTACTTCTCTCATTTTGAACACAAATACCTGTACTTTCTACTTCTTACATGTTGAACACAAATACCTGTACTTTCTACTTCTTACATGTTGAACACAAATACCTGTACTTTCTACTTCTCTCATTTTGAACTCAAATACCTGTACTTTCTACTTCTTACATGTTGAACACAAATACCTGTACTTTCTACTTCTTACATGTTGAACACAAATACCTGGACTTTCTACTTCTCTCATTTTGAACACAAATACCTGATTTATTAGCTAACAATGACATTATTGTTCTATTAATATAAAGGGAGGTCAGGTACTCTTTAAAACAGCTGCTAGTTATGGGTACTTTTTACTGAAGTACATTTCAAAGCCTCTTTACTTTGACTTGAGTAAAGAAGTTTAGTCAGTACTTCTACTTTCACCAGAGTATTTTTAAACATGAGTATCGATACTTCTACTTGAGGAAAGGATGTGTGTACTGCAGCCATCTCTGCCCTTTCTATCATTGCTGATGAATATCTAATTGTATGACAATAACAGCGCAGAACAGTTGATAAACTGCCCCATTAACACAGTTAGTGAATGCAATACCTGCAGGAAGTTGGTGTTGAACAAGCAATTTGATATATTGCATCAGATCTGAGTTTTCCCATAATTTGTATGAACTTTTAATACAATTCTGTACATTTTGTTTTTGTTCTTTAGTTTAAATTGCCTAAATCACTTACTTTTGACCCACTCCCCAAAGAGCCTCATGTCTCCGGTGATCAGCCCCACAGCACTAAGGAAAGAGCAGCCAGGCGGAGCTTCTCCAGGTGAGGCAGGGTCTTTGTTCTCCATGATGTCACTCACTAACAGGTCATTAACAGGGATGGAAGTAACACATGAGTATTACACAGGGGCGGACTGAGACTGTCGGTTGTCAAGGGCCCCTGACGACCGTTCTGTGATTCTCCAGATGTGTGTTTTTGTTTGTTTTCAATCATGATTATTGTTTATTAAAGTTTATTTTCTTGATTGTATCCTGATTTGATCTCGCCATATCCACACCAGAGACTGGAGATAAAAGACTATCTTCCTGGTTCTGAAATATTTACAGTAATGTTTGCTTTAAATGCATTGCTCCTGTGAAATAGCCTCTTTTCCAACTGTAAAAACAAACAAATTAACCAAGAAAAACAAACAAATAACTTAATTAATAAATCCTGAACTTATTAAATACGTTATTGATGAATAAATAATGATTAAACAAGTAAGTAATTAAATACATAAATAAACAAATTCATAATTGTGTTGCCAACTTCTACTTTTGACAGTATTTCTTTTTAAATCTGTAATTATATGCTTTTTAAATTAAGTATTGTACTTACCTGAGTTGCTTCTGCCAAAGAATGACAATAACATTCCCATAATAAAGTAATAATGTGCAGCTCCTCAATTAGCAGCGATCTAATACTAACGATAATGCTACCGCGGCACGTTAAGTGTCGCAATTCAAACAAACTCACGTTTTTGCGTCACCAACAGCTGCGCACCGTGTTAGCCAACATGCTAATTGATGCTAACATTCTAACAGTGGATCCTGCAGGTGCTTTCCCTTCAGTGAGGAGGACTGGGTTATTTTACTGGGAGCAACACGTTCACACAGGTGAGTGATGAGTGTGAGTGTGTGTGTGTGTTGTTATTGCTTTCATGTTGATTTCACTTTTATTCTACTTTTAATTCTATGAGATGTGTCTGACTCTTTTTATTTTACCTGCACCCGCCGTGGTATTCTTGATTGGCTGGACAGTTTGGTTTATTTATTTTTTCTATTCAGATAATAGTAACCCTATATGTAGGGAGGTGCTTGTGTGTTTATGAGTATCAGTTGTATATAGCTACATAAATATAAACCTGCGGCGGAAATCCCTCTGTCTTTCAAAGGGAGAATCTACTAATTATTTATGGTAGGCTAACTGTAGTGTGATTACTGATTTTATCGAAGTAACGCGTGTCGGGCAATGTTAGTAACTAGTGTGATTACTGAATTATAAAAGTAACGCGTTACTTTACTCCGTTACCGACAAAAGTATTATTATTATTACACCTAACTCTGGCAATAGGGTTGTGTGGATTTAAGGCTTCAGCGGTGAATTTTACAACTCCACCTTTGCTTGTAAAGCAGGGGATAATCTGGGTGCAAAGTAAGACACAACTGGCAAGGGGGTGTGCTTGGTCTCCTTTAATCAAACCATCAAGAGGGTCATCTCCTATTGCCTTTAAAAGCATACATCTATGTTTTGATTTCTGCAAATTGGTGAAGCAAGCTGTTTTGTGCAACAACACAAGAGTTGAATGTGTTGTGAACCTGCTATGTGGCCGCTTTGTAATGTGAATGTGTCCTTTTTAAAAGCTGAGACATATTGCACCATTGACTTTACACTTAAGGGGTTTAGTTGATGAATGCTCAGCCTATTTCTGCTTCATCAAGAGAGCAATGAACCTGACTTAATTGTATTTTAATAACACATCCATAAGTTCAGGAAAGGGTGCAGGAAGCTACTTGCATGACATTTGCATAGGTGTTAAATAGTGCGCTTAGTCTATTTCTACACTTTAGGCAATCCACATCTTTAGGTGTCTTTCCCTTATATTATAATGTAAACCCTGATGTTGTCAGGTATCATCCTCCACACTTTCCTTTCTATTCAACAACATATATTCGCCTCCCTGCACTCCAACTAAGTGTGAAGACGATTCATTTTCTGGAAACAACTCCAACAGAGGACTCTAAACTTCTCCGTCTGTTTGCAGCATCCTTTTCTACTCTTTTAATCTTAATATTCGAGTATATCTGTTGTTTCTGTGTTTTTACATTACATTACATTTAGCTGAAGCTTTTATCCAAAGCGACTTACAATAAGTGCGTTCGACCAGGAAGACACAACCTTGAAGAAAACAGAATCATATAAGTACATCAGGTTTCATAGAGCCAAACATTTCAAGTGCTACTCAACTGGCTTTAGGTAAGCCAGTCCTTTATTAGTATATAAGTGCTTTGTTAATAGTTCTATCGCTCGAAGTGGAGTCGAAAGAGATGAGTTTTCAGTCTGCGCCGGAAGATGTGTAAGCTATCTGCTGTCCTGATGTCAATGGGGAGCTCATTCCACCATCTTGGAGCAGGGATAGCAAACCCACGTGTTTCTGCTGATGGGAACTTGGGTCCCCCTCGCAGCGAGGGCGCAACGAGTCGTTTGGCTGATGCAGAGCGTAGTGCACGCGCTGGGGTGTACGGTTTAACCATGTCCTGGATGTAGGAAGGGCCAGATCCATTCGCAGCATGGTAAGCAAGTACCATTGTTTTTAAGTGGATTCTAGCAGTTTCCGGAAGCCAGTGAAGGGAGCGGAGGAGCGGAGTGGTGTGGGAACATTTAGGAAGGTTGAAGACCAGACGAGCCGCTGCATTCTGGATGAGCTGCAGAGGTCGGATGGCACATGCAGGTAGACCAGCCAGGAGGGAGTTGCAGTAGTCTAGGCGTGAGATGACGAGAGCCTGGACCAGAACCTGCGTGGCTTTCTGGGTCAGCTGGGGACGTATCTTCCTGATGTTGTAAAGCGTGTATCTGCAGCAACGGGTTGTAGCAGCGATGTTTGCAGTGAAGGACAGGTTGTTATCTAGGGTCACACCCAGATTCCTTGCAGTCTGAGTCGGGGAAACAACTGAGGTGCCAATGTTGATTGTTAGGTCAAGAGTGGGACAATCTTTTCCCGGAAGGAAAAGCAGTTCAGTCTTGTCAAGGTTGAGCTTGAGGTGATGAGCAGACATCCACTGAGAGATGTCAGCTAGACAAGCAGAGATGCGTGCGACGACCTGGGTCTCTGAGCGGGGAAAGGACAGAATTAATTGGGTGTCGTCAGCGTAGCAGTGGTAAGAAAAACCATGCGGGCTAATGACTGATCCGAGCGAGTTTGTGTACAGGGAGAAGAGGAGGAGACCGAGAACAGAGCCCTGAGGGACCCCTGTAGTTAATTGACAAGGGTCGGACTCCGACCCTCTCCAAGTCACCCTGTAGGTACGGTCTTTGAGGTATGAGGTGAGGAGGGAAAGAGCAGAGCCTGAAAGTCCAAGTTCTTGGAGAGTGCGAAGGAGGATCTGATGATTCACCGTGTCGAATGCAGCAGACAGGTCCAACAGGATGATGACGGAGGAGAGGGAGGCTGCTTTAGCAGTGTGCAGTTCCTCAGTGACAGCAAGGAGGGCAGTTTCTGTGGAGTGACCTGCCTTGAAACCAGACTGGTGTGGATCCAGAAGGTTGTTCTGATGGAGATAACAGGAGAGTTGTTTAAAGAGGAGAGAGACAGGCCTGTAAAATATATAACTAGGGATGTCCCGATCACCTTTTTTTGCTCCCGATCCGATTCCGATCATTTGATTTTGACAATCTGCCGATACCGATTTTTCCCGATCCGATCTTTATGCAATGCATTAAGAGAAAAAAAAGGAAAAAGCATTCAAGTTGTCCCTTAAGGTTAGTTTTTTATTGAAATGACCCATTCTATCCAACATGGATAGCTTCACAGCAGCATTGGATCAAAAACTAAATAAAGCTTATCAGTGGTCCACCACAAAATAACCATGTAAACAAATTGAGTGCAGTAAGAAAACAAAAATAACTGTATTGGAAAGAGGTAGCTTGACGAGCTTCACAAGTTCACATTCAGTCACAAATAATAAAATACAAATTTGGCTTAGTGCAGAATTCTAGCCTTAAGACTAACTAGTATTAATGCAATGAACAACAGCAGCTTCACATAACATGTTAACATAACATCAACATGTGTCCCCTCATCTTCATGTCTCTTTTACATCAACATGTGTCCCCTCTTCTTCATGTCTCTTTTACATCAACATGTGTCCCCTCTTCTTCATGTCTCTTCTACATCACACATGTGTCCCCTCATCTTCATGTCTCTTTTACGTCAACATGTGTCCCCTCTTCTTCATGTCTCTTCTACATCAACATGTGTCCTCTCTTCTTCATGTCTCTTCTACATCAACATGTGTCCCCTCTTCTTCATGTCTCTTCTACATCAACATGTGTCCCCTCTTCTTCATGTCTCTTCTACATCAACATGTGTCCCCTCTTCTTCATGTCTCTTCTACATCAACATGTGTCCCCTCTTCTTCATGTCTCTTCTACATCAACATGTGTCCCCTCTTCTTCATGTCTCTTCTACATCAACATGTGTCCCCTCTTCTTCATGTCTCTTCTACATCAACATGTGTCTCCTCTTCTTCATGTCTCTTCCACATCAACATGTGTCTCCTCTTCTCATGTCTCTTCACATCAACATGTGTCCCCTCTTCTTCATGTCTCTTCTACATCAACTGTGTCCCCTCTTCTTCATGTCTCTTCTACATCAACATGTGTCCCCTCTTCTTCATGTCTTCTTCTACATCAACATGTGTCCCCTCTTCTTCATGTCTCTTCTACATCAACATGTGTCCCCTCTTCTCCATGTCTCTTCTACATCAACATGTGTCCCTCTTCTTCATGTCTCTTCTTCATCACATGTGTCCCCTCTCTTCATGTCTCTTCTACATCAACATGTGTCCCCTCTTCTTCATGTCCTTCCTTCTTACATCACATGTGTCCCCTCTTCTTCATGTCTCTTCTACAATCACATGTGTCCCCTCTTCGTCTCATGTCTCTTCTACATCAACATGTGTCCCCTCTTCTTCATGTCTCTTCTACATCAACATGTGTCCCCTTCTTCATGTTCTTCTTCTGATCAGTCAAACATGTGTCCCCTCTTCTTCATGTCCTCTTCTACATCAACATGTGTCCCCTCTTCTTCATGTCTCTTCTACATCAACATGTGTCCCCTCTTCTTCATGTCTCTTCTACATCAACATGTGTCCCCTCTTCTTCATGTCTCTTCTACATCAACATGTGTCCCCTCTTCTTCATGTCTCTTCTACATCAACATGTGTCCCCTCTTCTTCATGTCTCTTCTACATCAACATGTGTCCCTCTTCTTCATGTCTCTTCTACATCAACATGTGTCCCCTCTTCTTCATGTCTCTTCTACATCAACATGTGTCTCCCTCTTCTTCATGTCTCTTCTACATCAACATGTGTCCTCCTCTTCTTCATGTCTCTTCTACATCAACATGTGTCCCCTCTTCTTCATGTCTCTTCTACATCAACATGTGTCCCCTCTTCTTCATGTCTCTTCTACATCAACATGTGTCCCCTCTTCTTCATGTCTCTTCTACATCAACATGTGTCCCCTCTTCTTCATGTCTCTTCTACATCAACATGTGTCCCCTCTTCTTCATGTCTCTTCTACATCAACATGTGTCCCCTCTTCTTCATGTCTCTTCTACATCAACATGTGTCCCCCTCTTCTTCATGTCTCTTCTACATCACATGTGTCCCCTCTTCTTCATGTCTCTTCTCATCAACATGTGTCCCCTCTTCTTCATGTCTCTTCTACATTCAACATGTGTCCCCTCTTCTTCCATGTCTCTTCTACATCAACATGTGTCCCCTCTTCTTCATGTCTCTTCTACATCAACATGTGCCCCTCTTCTCCATGTCTCTTCTACATCAACATGTGTCCCCCTCTTCTTCATGTCTCTTCTACATCAACATGTGGTCCCCTCTCTCTCATGTCTCTTCTACCATCAACATGTGTCCCCTCTTCTCATGTCTCTTCTTCATAAACATGTGTCCCTCTTCTCATGTCTCTTCTATCATCAACATGTGTCCCCTCTTCTTCATGTCTCTTCTACATCAACATGTGTCCCCTCTTCTTCATGGTCTCTTCTACATCAACATGTGTCCCCCTCTTCTTCATGTCTCTTCTACATCAACATGTGTCCCCTCTTCTCTCATGTCTCTTCTACATCAACATGTGTCCCCCTCTTCTTCATGTCTCTTCTACATCAACATGTGTCCCCTCTTCTCATGTCTCTTCTACATCAACATGTGTCCCCTCTTCTTCATGTCTCTTCTCATCAACATGTGTCCCCTCTCTTCATGTCTCTTCTTCATCAACATGTGTCCCCTCTTCTTCATGTCTCTTCTACATCAACATGTGTCCCCTCTTCTTCATTCTCTTCTACATCAACATGTGTCCCCTCTTCTTCATGTCTCTTTTACGTCAACATGTTCCCCTCTTCTCATGTCTCTTCTCATCAACATGTGTCCTCTCTTCTTCATGTCTCTTCACTCAACATGTGTCCCCTCTTCTTCATGTCTCTTCTACATCAACATGTGTCCCCTCTTCTTCCATGTCTCTTCTACATCAACATGTGTCCCCTCTTCTTCATGTCTCTTCTACATCAACATGTGTCCCTCTTCTTCATGTCTCTTCTACATCAACATGTGTCCCCTCTTCTTCATGTCTCTTCTACATCAACATGTGTCCCCTCTTCTTCATGTCTCTTCTACATCAACATGTGTCCCCTCTTCTTCATGTCTCTTCTACATCAACATGTGTCCCCTCTTCTTCATGTCTCTTCTACATCAACATGTGTCCCCTCTTCTTCATGTCTCTTCTACATCAACATGTGTCCCCTCTTCTTCATGTCTCTTCTACATCAACATGTGTCCCCTTCTCCATGTCTCTTCTACATCAACATGTGTCCCCTCTTCTTCATGTCTCTTCTACATCAACATGTGTCCCCTCTTCTTCATGTCTCTTCTTCATCAACATGTGTCCCCTCTTCTTCATGTCTCTTCTACATCAACATGTGTCCCCTCTTCTTCCTTGTCTCTTCTACATCAACATGTGTCCCCTCTTCTTCATGTCTCTTCTTCATCAACATGTGTCCTCCTCTTCTTCATGTCTCTTCTACATCAACATGTGTCCCCTCTTCTTCATGTCTCTTCTACATCAACATGTGTCCCCCTCTTCTTCATGTCTCTTCTACATCAACATGTGTCCCCTCTTCTTCATGTCTCTTCTACATCAACATGTGTCCCCTCTTCTTCATGTCTCTTCTACATCAACATGTGTCCCCTCTTCTTCATGTCTCTTCTTCATCAGCATGTGTCCCCTCTTCTCCATGTCTCTTCTACATCAACATGTGTCCCCTCTTCTTCATGTCTCTTCTTCATCAGCATGTGTCCCCTCTTCTTCATGTCTCTTCTTCATCAACATGTGTCCCCTCTTCTTCATGTCTCTTCTACATCAACATGTGTCCCCTCTTCTTCATGTCTCTTCTACATCAACATGTGTCCCCTCTTCTTCATGTCTCTTCTACATCAACATGTGTCCCCTCTTCTTCATGTCTCTTCTACATCAACATGTGTCCCCTCTGTGGAAAGAGACTCTGAAAGTTTCAGGAACAAAGATTCTCTCTCTTTTTGATCCATTTCTATAAAAACCTGTCTGAAAATGAGCTGATCAGATTTTGGCCACTTTATGATGTCATAACGTTTTGTTGGGTTGTGTAACCATTAGCCAATCAGCAACCAGGGTAACAAACACACTTTAGTATGTTTCTGAAAGCAGAAGAAACCAACTCCACTATTTGTGGTTCTTTAAACGTACTTGCATTGATCTCCTTTGTTACGCTGCCCCCTGGTGGAGAGCCTTAGACACTGAGGGGTCAGACTTATATTTACTGTTATAAAAGTACAAGCTGAAAAACCTCACTATGGATCATCAGCAATTTCATATTGGTATCAGCAGCAAGAACATCTTGTATTCTTTAATCTTATTGTAGTCGATATTTAAACACGGAAGGTATTTGAACCTGACCCAGTGTACATTTCTCTACAGCCTGCAATGATTTTATCAGCTTTGCCATAACATTTCTGTGTGTGTGTGTGTGTGTGTGTGTGTGTGTGTGTGTGTGTGTGTGTGTGTGTGTGTGTGTGTGTGTGTGTGTGTGTGTGTGTGTGTGTGTGTGTGTGTGTGTTAGAGAGTTTTAAAGACCCCCATATGTCAGGTTTGGGGAAAATAGGACCCAGGTGCAGTTCAAAATACAAAAAGGTTTGGTAACAAAAAGCGAGCAACAGTGCACTTTCACCCTGACTGTTATTGGTTGTTGTTTGTTACTGTCTCCATTTCCCCTACACTTTATTAGGGATGTAACAAACACATGAATATATCGAAAATGAAATAATCTTAAAATGGGACAATACGCACAGTAAGTAGTGAGTAGTCAATACGTCTCAGTTTATGCTGCCAGGGCCGGCCCTTGGCACTGGCGAACTAGGCGGTCGCCTAGGGCGCGCATCGGTACCGCGGATTGTTGTTGGATTGAGGCTGACAACTACAGCTCAGTGAGGTAAAGGACTCTCTGAGTGTTTAGATAGTTCACTTTAGTCTAGTTATCTCAGTGGGTCTCAAACGGTTTGATCACAATTTATGTAAACAAATATTTACAAGGCACACCTTTATAATTATTAGGATAAATAAAAACAGGTTTGAAATCATTCCAATATACTATAGGACAGTAACCAAACATATCGTTTAAAACTGGAGATATTAAAAAATACGCATAAATAAATAAATGTTAACTGGTAAAATAAGATATGAATGAACAACAAAAATAAAATACGTTACATTTATTTGTTATTGGCTATGGTATGTTATTGGTTATGTTCCCATCCTTATTTGATTATTAAAATGTAAACCGATCTTTTTCATATGGGTGCTTTAGAGTTGTACCCCCTAGATCTAGTTTCTAATAATTCTGCTCAAAGTGCACCAGATTGAAGCATTTTACTTTAAAATGTTAAAACAAATGTTTCCAGGGGGGCATACCCCCGGACCCCCCTGGAGGATGTGACGTGCACCCCCCAATTAAAACATGTTCATACAATAATGAATACATTTGAAACCTTCTTTCTGTATATAACCAACATGTCAATACGTTTCAGTTGTTGTAGTGTATTTGTCTTTTGTAGAGATTTTTCATTTATTCTTTATATATTCTATTGTGTATTGCTTGGAGGGGGGGGGGGGGGGCACCAAATCATAATCTGGCCTAGGGCACCAAAATGTCTAGGGCCGGCCCTGTATGCTGCTTTATACTTCCACTGCACTACATTTTAAAAGACAGTATTGTTCTTTTGAATCCACTGCATTCATTTCACAGCTTTTACTAGTTAGATATAGATTAGTAGATTCAAAATATAAATCAATTATTAAATACACTTTGACAGATATTTATAGGATAAGATATCCAGCAGCAAGACATCAAGTTATTCAAATCAGCTCTTAATTTACTAACTGTGATAACACACATCAACAATCATTATAGTAACTCAATATATATATATAGGATTCTGAAAAGGGCCATTATGCATAAGGAGTACTTTTACTTTTGGTACTTTAAGTATATTTTGATACCAATGCTTTTGTACTTTTACTTGTAACAGAGTATTTTTACCCCGTAGTATTTCTACTTTTGCTTTAGTAGAATATCTGAGTACTTCTTACACCACTGCCACCATGAGTGTGGAGCTGTGTGCTACAAAAGCCTGACTTTAAAACAAATGTTGTTATTATAAGCAGGTTGTGAGCGAGGCTCCGTTTGTAAATGAGGAAACAGTTCAGAGTGTCTGCTCCTCCTCCTGGAACGAGTCAGAGTTTGATGAGCCCTCCCTCTTCTTCCTGCTCTCAGACACAGCCAGCTCCACTCTGTATTTCCTGGTTCCTCCCCTTCAGATCCACACTGAGGGGGATGGGTGTAACCAACATGTGGTTAAAGCACAAGAGCTGATAGGCCACATGCACTGCTCACACACATGCTGTTCAGATCACAGCTCACATAGTTTCAGCTCTCAGGAAGTGAAACTCAGACACTCGCTGACACTGAGAGGTGAGATGGCGCAGAGAGGAGTTCAGCTGGACCGGGAAACCTTCTCTTGTTCCATCTGTCTGGATCTACTGAAGGATCCGGTCACTATTCCCTGTGGACACAGCTACTGCATGGACTGTATCAAACACCACTGGGATGGAGAGCTAATCCACAGCTGCCCTCAGTGCAGGCAGAGCTTCACACCGAGGCCTGTCCTGCTGAAGAACACCATGTTAGCAGCTTTAGTGGAGGAGCTGAAGAAGACTGGACTCCAAGCTGCTCCTTCTGATCTCTGCTATGCTGGAGCTGAAGATGTGGCCTGTGATGTCTGCACTGGGAGGAAGCTGAGAGCCTGTAAGTCCTGTCTCGTGTGTCTTATATCTTACTGTGAGAAACACCTCCAGCCTCATTATGAATCACCTGCCTTTGAGAAACACAAGCTGGTGGAGCCCTCCAAGAAGCTCCAGGAGAACATCTGCTCTCGTCACGACGAGGTAATGAAGCTGTTCTGCCGCACTGATCAGCAGAGTATCTGTTATATCTGCACTATGGACGAACACAAAGGCCACGACACGGTGTCAGCTGCAGCAGAGAGGACTGAGAGGCAGAGAGAGCTGGAGGGGAGTCGACTCAACATCCAGCAGAGGATCCAGGACGGAGAGAAGGAGGTGAAGCTGCTTCAGCACGAGGTGGAGGCCGTCAATGGCTCTGCTGATAAAGCAGTGGAGGACAGTGAGAAGACGTTCACTGAGCTGATCCGTCTCATGGAGAAGAGAAGCTCTGATGTGAAGCAGCAGCTCAGATCCCAGCAGGAGAGAGAAGTGAGTCGAGTCAGAGAGCTCCAGGAGAAGCTGGAGCAGGAGATCTCTGAGCTGAAGAGGAGAGACGCTGAGCTGAAGCTGCTGTCTCACACAGAGGATCACAACCAGTTTCTGCTCAGCTACCCCTCACTGCCAGCCCTCAGTGAAGCTACACACTCCTCCAGCATCAACATCCGTCCTCTGAGCTACTTTGAGGACGTGACGGCGGCCCTGTCAGCACTCAGAGACAAACTACAGGACGCCCTGAGAGAGGAATGGACAAACGTCTCATCGACTGAAGTGGATGTTTTACTGTCAGCAGCAGAGCCCACCACCAGAGCTGGGTTCTTAACATATTCACAGGAAGTCACTCTGGATCCAAACACAGCAGAGAAACGGCTGTTATTATCTGAGGGGAGCAGAAAAGCAACACTCATGAAACAACAACAGTCTTATTCCAGTCACCCAGACAGATTCACTTATTATTCTCAGGTCCTGAGTAGAGAGAGTCTGACTGGACGTTGTTACTGGGAGGTGGAGCGGAGAGAGGGAAGAGTTTATGTAGCAGTCGCATACAAGAATATCAGCAGAGCAGGGCATGAAAGTGGATTTGGATTCAATGACAAATCTTGGTCCTTAGATTGTTACCAAAACAGTTATTTATTTTGTTACAACAGAATCGACACTCCCGTCTCAGGTCCTCCGTCCTCCAGAGTAGGAGTGTACCTGGATCACAGAGCAGGTATTCTGTCCTTCTACAGCGTCTCTGAAACCATGACTCTCCTCCACAGAGTGCAGACCACATTCACTCAGCCGCTACATGCTGGAGTTTGGCTTTGTGATTATGGAAACACAGCTGAGTTTTGTAAACTGAAATAGCCTGAAGTCACTTGAGGAACTCTTGTACTTCTTAAACTCACCGTGTGTCCATCAGAGCTGATGGCTCATGTCTTCACTGCACAGAGATCAGCTTCAATCAAACATGATGGGATGTGCTTTAACATCTTCTCATGAGTTGTTCTGCAGATGTTGGAGTTCCTTTAGGCGGCGCTCCTTCCTGTGTCTGTTGAGCCATGGAGGCTGTCACTGCTCAGGAGCACTTCTGTTCACCTCAACTCATATCTCTCTGCATGGAAATGTCAACTTTGTTCTAAATACTTGTTGAATATCGATATTGATGTATTTGTATGTTGTTGTTTCTCTGTTTTAATTTGTAACTAAGTCTCAATGTATTGAATGCATCAATGAAAGTTTGAATAATGCAACAAAACAAATTAAAAGAAATGTCATAAAAAATATTCTATATATATATATCTGTATATTTTATAATGTTTGGGTTTTTCTTGTTAATAAAAGAACTAAGAGGAAAAAAGTGAAAATCTCTGTCTTTTGCTTTTTTTTAATTATAAATATATATATCAATTATTTTTCTGAAACAAGATATTTTCCTGTTTTTATATATATTGTATTTATTTGTAGGATTAAGACAAATCAGATGAAACCAGAGCTGAAAAAGGTACTTGTACAATCTGAAAAAGGCATCTCTTGCTCAGATAAATAATGGAGCCTGAGGCGTGAGCCGTTTCTCCAGCAGCAGCAGTTTGATGTCAGACCGGTCTGAGCGGAACAGGAAGGAACTCCTGCGTCACGTTGCGTTAAAGTCACACAGGGAACATTGAGCTTCTGTTCTTCTGTGGGTTTGTTTTGAGTCTAATGTAAGAGTACAAAGCGAGGTGTGTGTGTGTGTGTGTGTGTGTGTGTGAGACAACACAACAGAACTCAGGTATGAGATCGAGATTATGTCAGCAGAAAGACAGCAGGTGTGAGAGATAAAAAAGGGTGAGTCTTTGTGAGAGAAATTAGAGCTGTGTGTGTGTGTGTGTGTGTGTGTGTGTGTGTGTGTGTGTGTGTGTGTGAGAAACTCACCTTAACACCTTAGCTACACTCAAAACACTACAACAAATCAGCTGGTAAAATAGTTGAATCCTACAGACAGTGTATGTAAAGGAACTTAATAGGTGGATGCATTATTTGTAGAATAGTGACTTTGTACCACTCACTCTAATTGGGGCAGATTTGTTTCTGCAGAAATATAAACACATTTCAAAACACATTAAGAAGGCAAATAATTCCACAAATTGACTCTTGACAAGGCACACGTGTTAATTGAAAACCGGGGACGACCTCATGAAGCTGACTGAGAGAAGCCAAGAGTGTGCAAAGCGTTCATCGAGGCAAAAGGGGCTACTTTGAAGAATAGAACATACAAATAATATTCTGGATTTTTTTAACACTTTTTGTTGTTGTTTTTTGTTAATTCCATATGTGTTCTTTCATAGTTTTGATGTCTTCAGTATTAATCTTCAAAGTAGAAATCAATAAACATGAACCAAAACCATTGAATGAGAAGGTGTGTCCAAACCAAGCGGCAAACTCTGGGGAAGAGCCGGGACGCCAATACGGAAGTGCCACACACTGCAGTTCCTCTAGTGGCCGATAGGCATTCAAGTTGTCCCTTAAGGTTATTTTTGTATTGAAAGGACCCATTCTATCCAACATGGATAGCTTCACAGCAGCATTGGATCAAAAACTAAATAAAGCTTATCAGTGGTCCACCACAAAATAACCATGTAAACAAATTGAGTGCAGTAAGAAAACAAAAATAACTGTATTGGAAAGAGGTAGCTTGACGAGCTTCACAAGTTCACATTCAGTCACAAATAATAAAATACAAATGTGGCTTAGTGCAGAATTCTAGCCTTAAGACTAACTAGTCTAGTATTAATGCAATGAACAACAGCAGCTTCACATAACATGTTAACATAACATGAATAAACAAAGTATTATATTTCCATCTTACTGGAGTAACACAATTCAAATATAAAATGTAAACAAAAACATGGATATACAATTGCAAGGCACTGGTTTTTTTTGTTTGTTTTTTAAATCAAGGGACGGTCAGCTCTTGAATGTGAGCTGCACTCTTACTTCTTACTCACTCTCACTCTCCGGCTTCACAATTAAGTGGAGGTTTTTTTTAAGGAAAATCAGCATCTCTACCCTGTCAGGTGAGAGCCGGTTCCTTTTCTCATCAAGGATGCTGGACACTGCACTAAAGAGTCTCTCACTGTCCACAGAGAAACCTGGTTGCAACAGCAGCCAGTGAGGGGAACCGTGAAGCATTATCTTTCCAGTAGTGTAGAGGATTGCTTTTCCTAGGGCTTGATTGATTGATTGAAAAGTGTATTAACAGCTTGTATATTGGGTACAGTACAGTACAGCTCAAAACATACAATTGTTAAGGGGATGCAGACCAGAGAAAGACTTTCGTCTTGTTTACATCAAGGTCCCCCATTTCCAATTCATCATATCATTTAAGACATATTTGACATACAGATGGCTTATTTACAATTTACATTTTAGATTTCGTTCTAATACATCCTAACCGGACATTTAAGACATACCAAGTCTACAGATATACAGTTAGTAACAGAGTCTAAAATGCGAGTATTTACATAGATGGGGGGGGAAGCTGTCCATTGAACGACAGGTTGAGATTTGTACCATTACCGGGGCCAGTTTTACAATGCTCTCCCCCGAAGGTGCTCTTTAAGAGAGGTTTTGAAGGTAAGTATAGTTTTACTTTCCTTTACAGTTGTGGGAAGAGCGTTCCACCTTGATGTGGCATCATTGCGAAACGTGTATTCCCCCTTTTTTGTGCCAAATCTGGGTTTCACATGATTTGTGGAGCTCCCTCTGGTGTTATGATCATGGTATTCCTTGACCTTTGGGAAGAATTTTGACATGTACATGGGTACCATAGAGGTGTAGTGGATCTTGTAGACCAGGCCCATTGCAAGTAGCTGTACTCTGTCGTCTACTCTAAGCCATCCTAGGTTGTCAAAGTGGGCAGAGGTGAGGTGGGTTCTAGATGAAAGGTCAAGCAGTAGTCTGACCAGTTTATTTTGCGATGTTTGAAGTTTTATTTTTAGCGCCTTGGAGGTGCTATGGTACCATGACGTGCAAGCATAGTCATAGTACCCTTGAACGCTGGCTTGCTCTGAGAGATAGGTCTGTACCTGGACATCAGCTGATGTACTCACGGACCGGGCCTCGAGCTGATTCTCTTCCAAGATCTCGTCCAAGACGCTGCCCAGGCTGCTGCTTGCTTCTTGGCGTGGTGTGTTGCGCATAGGCTCTGCTGCCTCTGGCTCTTCACTGGCAGCCCTCTCTATCTTCGCCCCCTCCAGGATGAGGTTATCCGTGGCAAGCCTCAGATTGTCTGACTTTGTGAAGAATCTGAAAATAGATAAATGTAACAATTACCCACAACAAAGAAAAACATAAGACAAGACACCACACAGCACAACAGTGAAGTCAGGCAACTGCCTTACTTCTATACAAATCTAACAGACCTACATTTAAAAGGAAAGAAAATAGAAATTGGCTTGAATAATGAATACTGGTGGTTGGTTTGATATACATAATTCATAACGTAATAGATACGATTATAATAGCATTCAAATGGTACATTAATTGACTGTACTTGCCTGTCTTTGTATCTTGGATCCACTAGAGTGGCAATGCTGTACAGTGGCTCCTCCTCTACCTCAGCAAAGCGGGTCTCCACTGCCTCTAGGAGCGTGCTCTTCATCGTTCTGACCCCCTGGTCAGTGGTCTTCTCCCGAGAGAGTACACGTTTGAATGAATTAAATGAATGGATGAATGGTTTATGTAGAATATAAAATAATTATAGTAAAATAAAAACATTTCTATTCTTTTATTTAAAAATATAGAATATTACAATATATACAAATCCCAGAGTCTCGTAAGTGAATTTAGCAGCTGACATTAACGTTACACATTACACTCGTGTTACTCACCGAAACCTTGTAAAGCCGGTCCCGCATGCTGGAACCGACTAACTCCCCTTGTGTGTGTGCACAGCTCTCAACGTGCCCAGACTTGGAGTGATTTTCACCTTTTAATACTTTCCGCTTCATTCTGAAAGAAAGAAGTGAAATGTTTCAACGTGACGGCCGTCTTGGTGTGTGGAGCGAGACGGGAGATGTAGTTCATTGAGCGTTTCACACAAACAAATGTGTTACTTCACAGTTTAACGACTCATTTTGATTTTTTTGACTTGCAAAATGATCTTTTAAATTGACAAACATCATGTGTGTAATTCGTTGCACAATTCAAACGGGATCGAAAGATAGCTTTTCTCTCTCCATCGACTTCAATACATACTTTTTCCGAAATAAGGTCCCAAGGAGGGACGACCGGAAGGGGAGGGACTTCGCCTCTCTTAGGCAAAACCCACTTCTTCATGTCTCTTCTATAATAATAATAATACATTTAATTTCAAAGCGCTTTTCCAGGTGCTCAAAGACGCTTTACAGTGGTTTGATAAAACATGATAAAATAGAAGAAAAATAAATAAATAAATATTAAAACAGCAACACAGCATAATTCACAAATGAAAAGCCAGTCTGAAGAGGTGTGTTTTGGTCAGTGAAAGTGGGGGGGGGGGGGTCGGTGCGGTCTCTGATGTGTTGTGGAAGGGAGTTCCAGAGGGTGGGGGCAGCGATGGAGAAGGCTATGTCCCCCCAGGTTCGGAGCTTGGTTCGTGTGGGGATAGAGAGGAGGTTCGCTTCTGATGAACGAAGGCTGCGGGAGGGGGTGTAGTGGTGGATCAGGTCTACATCAACATGTGTCCCCTCTTCTTCATGTCTCTTCTACATCAACATGTGTCCCCTCTTCTTCATGTCTCTTCTACATCAACATGTGTCCCCTCTTCTTCATGTCTCTTCTACATCAACATGTGTCCCCTCTTCTTCATGTCTCTTCTACATCAACATGTGTCCCCTCTTCTCATGTCTCTTCTACATCAACATGTGTCCCCTCTTCTTCATGTCTCTCTACATCAACATGTGTCCCCTCTTCCCATGTCTCTTTACATCAACATGTGTCCCCTCTTCTTCATGTCTCTTCTACATCAACATGTGTCCCCTCTTCTTCATGTCTCTTCTACATCAACATGTGTCCCCTCTTCTTCATGTCTCTTCTACATCAACATGTGTCCCCTCTTCTTCATGTCTCTTTTACATCAACATGTGTCCCCTCTTCTCATGTCTCTTTACATCAACATGTGTCCCCTCTTCTTCATGTCTCTTCTACATCAACATGTGTCCCCTCTTCTTCATGTCTCTTTACATCAACATGTGTCCCCTCTTCTTCATGTCTCTTTACATCAACATGTGTCCCCTCTTCTTCATGTCTCTTCTTCATCAACATGTGTCCCCTCTTCTTCATGTCTCTTCTACATCAACATGTGTCCCCTCTTCTTCATGTCTCTTCTCATCA